AATATTATAAAATTTTATTTATATTCATTAAGAAGATCTAAATAATTGAAGAAGCAACTTGTTACATCCATGTGTGTATTTGTACGCATACAGAATAAGACTAGGAGTTAAAATGTTAGTATTTTGTAGGATCATACTTTTTGGGACTATTTTAGTATTATGCAATTTTTTACCATCATTCATAAATTGTATTATTTATATGGTATTTAAAATTTACACGAACTACAGCATACTATATGTAGCCTTTAAAAATTTAATAGACTACTGAGAGCACTATTTTCCTAATTTTTCTACTGTGAATTTACATTAGTTGTATAAATAAACCATGCATTTTTCTTTCTTCCTGAGGTTTATCTTTACCTTCTTCATCAAGGCTGCTAAAGCTTTGTCCTTCAGTCAGCAAATCGCGCTTCTCGTCCTTCCACTCCTGACTAACCGAGGACACAATCTCCTGTGAAGCTGCCTTTAAGGCAGCAATAGAATTGGACCATTTTTTAGAAGGTGAGGCTTTCAAAGCTAGACAGAAAGGAAAAAGGAGAGACACGAAAATACTTATAAAACCAGATGCATATTTTAAAATTAATATATTATTTAATACCTTATTACTTGAGTAGAAGGAAAAAGCCTTTATATATAGAAAGCATACATATATACACTGCAGATGAAATTGTGTTCTGGCCGTATTACTTGTCCAAAATGACATGACTTAAAAATATCCTAGAATAAGCTAGAGTTGAAGTTCCCAGAATTTGAAATAGTCTTATTTGAGGTGAATGTTACATATTTTCTTGCTAAAAAATTATTCTCCCCCCTCCAAACAATGTTTTTGTAGTGCTGGGAGCATCTGGGTGAATTGGTAAACACAGAAGGTAAAGTATGGAGAATTCTCATGACCCCAGTTTTATTAATTGGAGACTGGGAATTTCTAAACATGCCAATATTTAATCTTATACTCATGTTGCCCCATTTAGCTAAGATACTTCTGGTTGCATTTTTCCTTCTCTGAATTTCCACTGAAATTTCCTACTTGGTATCTTTGCTAGGTCATGGTTACATCAGATGTATAATTCACTCCCCATCTTTGTCTGAATGGCATTTGCCAACTTCATAAGTGTGTTGGGAACTTGAATGCATGAAAATGTACTTTGGCATCCTATTGTTCTGGCTAAGGTTTTGATTTCAGATAGGGTATAAAGTTTGCTGCTTAAGCTGCAGCCCGAGCATCCCTACTTAGATTCACTCTTTGTAATTCTTCTTGGCTTAACTGTTAAGGAATTTTCTTGGAGGAAATTGGAAGGGGAGAGGGAAGTTGAGGCTTATTTATGCTTTCCTTAAACTTGTTTTTGGCAGTGTCTATTCTCCTTTGGAGGTTAGTGTAAAAGGATAAGCTGACAGCAAATGGATTAGAATAACTGTGTTTAGCTTTGGGGATCTCAAAGTGCAGATTGCACTGCTCATCTGGGGCCTTCCCACCGGCAGCTTCCAAGAACTTTATTGGAGAAGGACTTTGGGATTCACAAATGAGGGAAGAATAGAGGGCATTCTCTCTGCTTACCCAGAATGGAAGGTTTATATGTCCCTCGGGCAGCCTTATAACCATAATAATATTGTCATCATCATAAATAGTGTGTGAGTGGTGCTTTGGAAGCCAACATTCACACTGCTCATCTCAAATTATCCACATGTCTGAGGAAAGTTGCCCCTTTTAGAGGCCAAGCAACAGAGACTAGAAAGACTGACTAGCTCCAGGTCACAGAGCTAGACAGTGTGAACCCCATGGTCCTGTTTTCTTCAGTTGCCTAATCAGTGGTTCATTTTCTAGCTCTTTAGCATTCTAATTTCTGGTTAAAGTGTGTGTGTGTGTGGGGGGGTTAAAGCTAAGATGGGCATGGTAGCTGATAATCTCAGCACTCTGGGAGGCTAAGGCAGAAGAACTGAAAACTGTGGAGCCCAGCCCTGGCTGATTTAGCAAGATCCTGTCTCAAAATATAAAATAAAAAGGGCCAGGGCTGTAGCTTAGTGTGATGGCCCTAGCTTCAATCCCCAGCACTGAAAACAAACAAACAAACAAACAAACAAATGAAAAGACAATACTAGACTTTGCTTTTGAGAGGAGATTTTAAATGCTTAAAAACTGATCAAAATTTATTTTAATGATAACTTAAGTGGGTCACAGTTTCCTTAATTCTCCATTCTATTAACAGTGTCCATCTTGGTGTCATAAACAAGCACACACTGGCCTCTGCTGTAATATTTTGCCTGCTAACTTTCATTAATCTTTCATAAAATTTGATAAATTCCTGCCTTTCAATATAGTATTTTCAGGCTTTTAAATCAGAGGATATCAGATGTGGTTTGGGAACCTCTAGGAGTCCCTGAGCCTCGCCCAGAAGATCTGCAGGGTTGAAACTGTTTTCACAATATGAAAACACTGTTTGCCTTTTCACTCTCATTCTCCCACACTCATAGAGCTTTCCAGATACCACGTGACCTGTGATAATGCAACTGATTCAGAAACAGATGTAAAGCTGGGCACAGTGGCACAGACCTGTAAGGCCAGCATTCTGGGAGGCTGAGGCAGGAGAAGCATAAGTTCAAGCCCATCCTGAACAACTCCGAGACTTGGTGATACCCTGTCTCAAAAAAAAAAAAAAAAAGGAGGTGCTGGGGATGTAGCTTAATGTGAAGATCCCTGTATCCCCCCTCACACACAATGAGATGTGAGGGACTTAGCTATTTTCTACTAAGTGATATATTAGAGATTTGAAAAAAAAGGTTAAATAATGCCATTTTTCTTATTAACTAAGCTATTTGTTTGGAAAATGTAATTAATTTTTGTAATTATTTTTATGTAAAATTTTACATCTTTTGATAAAATTGACTTATGTTAATTACAGTGGTTTCTTTTTCTTTTCTTTTTTTTCTTCAGTGCTAGGGTTCAAACCCAGGGTCTCCTGCATGCTAGGTACAAGCTCTATCACTGAAGTAAACCCCAGTCCCTGTAATCGCTTTTATTGTCACTTGATATGAAT